GCTATATGGATCGCATTATTAGGGAGGCAATTGAGATTGAACTGCATCCAGGAAATATGAACAGAGAGGGGGGGTTTTGTCTCAGCAAGTCTTGGAAACCTCTCATCTGTTCTCTTAAAAAACCCCCACCGGGATATGATGCCAGATCCAGAAGGCCACACAGGCCATGACCAACCAACATAACAACCCCCACCCCTCAGCTCACGGGTGGTGCTCAGCCTTCAACCTTGCCTTTCTCTCCCCTACACAAAAACCACGCTTGTCCTAGCTCCCTTCCCCTACCCCTCCCACACTACTGCTTTCACTTGTATACTTGCCCTTCCCCCTTCTCCCTCACTGCTCTCACATAGCTGTGTATTTTTCCACAGTCTGCTTTTACCGGTTCTCACGGTCTCTTTGCTTGCAGATTTCTTATATATTTTTTCTTCTACCCTGAAGATGGAGGCGATACGTTCCTTCGAAACGTCGATTAACACCACATATACACGGTGCCAAATCCCAGAAGACTGCTTTCTTCACGTTTATCTTTGCAAAGGAAAATGTTTTGCATGATACCAGTCACTCTCACAAACATTTCTAGGCATGTTTCTAGATGGGCATTGGAAATCTGAACAATCTGCTCTATAAATTGAGTGTTATATTAGTTTAAATAATATGCCTTGTGCTGTGTACTGGGTGAAATGTCTGGCTTGTACTGGCCCATAGTTTATTATTGCATGTTAATGGTGTGGTACTGTTTTGTTTGAAGTTGTATCAAAATATAAATGAAGTTTGTTTTGGTACTACTAATTTTGTAGTGAAATGCAATGGAAAAATGCTACAGTTCTAACATTAAATTCCTTCGATTTGTTATTTATATAGAAATGTTTATGTTACTAGGATTTTTTTGAGTATGCAACCAAGACAATATACTGATTTACTTTCAGCTATGGGGCAACTACTTCAACCTGGCTGTGGCCTTCCTAACGCAGCCATCCCTGCAGCTGGAGAAATTCAGCGAGGTGAAACGAGAGAAGATCATTGAAAAGTATGGTGATATGAGGGTCCTGATGGGATTTCAGATCCTTTCCATGTGGTCCAACCTTGGTTTGTATCTCTAAATTATGTTCATTACATAATTTCATTTTGTTTTGACTGCCATGAAACACTGAATAGTAAATTAAATTTACATTTGGTGGATCAGTAGGAATTGCTGTACATTTGAATAACTTTCATTATTTTGTACACCAAATGCACACCTGTAGAAGCCCAAATATTATATCTTCTGATTCCAAAAATGCACAGATATATATATATCTTTGAGTATGGCTGTATCTGCCACAGAAACATATTGCATGATGAGAACAATTAATTTAATACTTTTTATGTTAACTCCAACCCCTTTTATGTTTATGATAGTGCATTATAGGAGGTTATAAGAGGCTGGAAATAAATAGCTAAGAGTCAGGAATGCACGCACAAGTTTTGTAGGGAAAGCTCTTTGAAAATGAATGCTTGGAAGATCAGTAAAAAAATAGACAGTGGATGAAACTGACTCAGTACTGTGTCCAGTGGTGGGCGTTTTTAATAGCAGTGTTGAATGTTCAGGTTCTTCTAACAGAGATCTAGTTTGTTAGATAACCATCACTTTCTAATACAAATTCCTCATTCCTAATTACTGAAGTTTAAAAGAGACAATGAATGCACTTATCAATTCTTTTGTACTTACATGACTAAAAATTTTTGCTAGTTTACTCACTTTGCTGTTAAAAAGTTGAATTGAGTTGTTTAAGTGAGAAAGATCTGTAGTATCATATCTAAGAGGAGCACATCTTAATATTACATTAGTGTGCTTTACATTCTCAATGTAATTTACAGTGTTCCTGAATGCTACTCTTAAGTCATTTCTACTAATGTCATTAGATCCACTACTAATTTTAAGAAGTCATTTGCTTTTAGGTTGCCCACTTCTTCCTTCATTATTCCTTCATTATTTCACTTAATGATTCTATGCAAGATCCTGGATTTATCAACCACACACTTCAAAACGAGCATCCAGAGAAGTTATCATCTTCGCTGCACAACCTCTCACATGGCTATCACCAATTATAAATACTTTATGCTTATTACCTCTAAGATATTTTAATTTATTTTATTTTCAAGGATTTTTATTTCAGATTCTTTCACTAAGTTATGCACTTGGTCCCATTTATTAATAGTGTTATCACTTATATTTTGTTGCTTACTAAAGTTAAGTTGGCCATTTATAATAATTGGTATATTGTTTACATTTTGATCACATATCTGATCACACTTTATTTTATGTTGAGTTAGGTTGGTGCACAATATTTCCCATGTAATGTGGAGTAGATCTGTTTCTGGACCTCCCTTGACCCCTCCACCCCTCGTAGTTCATGAAATGATCTGAACTTTCTTCAGTGAGGTTAGGTGATCCTTTCTCTTCTTGGAGAAAATTGTCAGTAAGGCTTCCCAATATGTTATATTTATTTTCACAGCTGGTAATTTGAGATAAACAAGTATTGGTGGATTTCTTTACCTTATGTCCTCTGTATCGCCTTTAATTGATACAGTGGTCCAGTTATCAGATGCCAGGCTTGGGAATTCCCTTTTGTATCTGAAGGGAGAGTCTTGTTGCAACATTTCAACTATATTTGAAGTGATTTCAGTTGCGAGAGGATGTCATTTAACTGCCTTTGTTTATGGAAACAACTTACGCACTCCACAGCACTGTTTATATCTGTATTTAGTGTAAGTAGTTGGGAACGATCAGACAGCACACACATCTCGGCCGCCATCATATAACAAATGATACTCATTAGACAGTGATTTTAGAACAGGAGTGACTCAAATGCTAAACTGTATGAACTATTTTAAGTTCTGTTTGTTTCCTGATTCAGGTGAACACAAGATAAACTTCATCCCATCAATGGTGGGTCCATTTCTGGAAGTTACCCTGGTTCCAGAGTCTGAGCTTCGTAAGGCCACACTCCACATATTTTTTGACATGATGGAATGTGAGCAGAAGTACCATGGAAATTTCAAACAAGTTGAATCTGAGTTGATAGACAAGTTGGATATCTTGATCAGTGAAAACAAAGGAGATGATGAGTACAGACAGCTTTTCAATACCATGTGAGTTCCTTTCACTGCATAATTGTTTCTCTGTGATTGTCAGTGCTTAAGAATTTTGACACAGTTACATAAATTTAATTGTATTATTTGTTTCTTTTTTGGCGAACCAGGGAACATTTAAGCGCAGTGTGAGTAATGATTTTTATTTTTCAGTTGCACTTCCTTATACTAACAGAATTCTGATAGTCTCATTTTTTTTCCTCCACTTTTAACTTTAATTGAAAACTACTTTCTCTGGTATGACTGCACTCTTTTCTTCATTTTTTATAACCACTCTATCCTTTCATAACTGTAGACACTTTGACATTCAGATAGAATTATTGATTAGAATACTGATCACCCATTACGTCATTCCATCTATGCACAGTGCGTCACCTGTTTGCTGCTGTCATGATGAATTTTCTTTATGGACTGTCCAGCATTTAGAAAAGATTTTTGTTCTTATGGTAATAGCATTACAGTATATGGCAGGATACTTATGGCCACTCTGATACATTACAGTGAATCTTTACCACATTCTTATGGACCATTGTAATCTTTTGCTTAGATTTGTTCATACCTTAAGAAGTTGAAGTACACAACTTAGCATAGAACTGATTGCAGGGGCATCCCTTCCATACATAATGTACCTCTCAAAATTCCTGTAACTTCTGCCAGTTTAATTTGTACTTACATTTTTATCAGGATTTTTACTTCTAATATAATCAAACAGTAAATATTGAATATTAAAATAGTAACTAATGTAAGAGTAGATGAATGAATTACAGATAGATAAAATCCAGAAAATTTTTACCAGTTAGGTAGGTATATGCTTTGGAAATGGAAGATGCCAAAGGCAGAGAAAATGTGTTCATTAAAAAAATACTGTTGGACACATATTAACATGAAGCAGAAATGTGAACCTGGACAAAGGCATATTATTAATATACTCAATTGAACCACTACATCACAGCCCCAGAAATGAATGAGGCATGCATCCATCATGGAGGCTGAGATCTGGCCAAGTGTAGAAATTGTCCATCCATAACACACTTCCTCTGTTGAAAAGTTCCACAAACTTTTCAACACTCTTGCTTGTTTTGAGACTATCACCTGGGACATCACTGCTTATCTGATCTGTTGTGATTCCTCTGTATATAATAAATTTCCACAAGTACAGTCAACTCTCGATTATCCGGGATAATGGTGGGGATGGAAATCACGATTAATCGAAAACCCGGTTAAGACAAATTTTATTAAAAGTAGTACTGTAATACTGTACCTTCATAATACTATAGGCCTACCTGCATTTAAATTTATTCAACCTCATTTTTATGTCATCTCATGGCCTATTTAATACTTTTTTTACATTACACTGAAGTATGAATTAGTTATTTCAATCACAGTCTTCGACAACATCCAACACTTTTTACGAACATTCACACTTAACACTTAAAAAAATTTAATATTGTCGTTTACTTTTTCACGGCATTTTCCTTTTTCTGTTGAATACTTAACACAACACGCTTCCTTTTACAGACTGACATTTTGCTAACGCACTTGAAGATCAATACAAAGATACTAACTGGGGCGATGTATCTGTCCTTGAAACTTTCCACAAATCCTTGCATTCTTTCACCCCTACCCTAGAACATTGTGTTAGCATAATGGGACCAAAGAATGCAGAGCTCGGTTCACACTAGTGCGAAAATAGTGTTACAACTCGCCATGTGAAACAAAATTGAATGAATGTTAAACAACATATAAGCCTCAAAAAAGCGTCAGTAGCCCCGGTTAAGCCGCAAACCGGTTAATCCGCCCCCGGATAATCGAGAGTTGACTGTATGTGGTTTTAAAGCACAGAGTTTGAAGGCTTGTATTCTGAACTTAACAGCCTTCAAGGGAATGTACTGCTTGAATCTGAATCTGCCCTTTCACAGAATCAGGGATTCATCAAGGGATATATTTTCCTTCTATCTATAGAGGCTGCTATATTTGTTGTCCAAGTATACTATGGTGTATTTCCCAAGGCTGAAGCTAGCTTCTGCCCTGTACCATAACCATACTCCTCAGCCCCAGTGCCTTTATTTGTCTTGGGACTATCTGTATACTAGATTAGTCTGCCTTTCATATCAGGTTGAAACCCATCTTTCCCTTCAATTCTGCCAGGGAATCTGACTGAAGTTGAACATTAGATTAGATGGAGAAAGCAAGAAATACGTGAAAAGTTTTGATGAGGAAACTTCTCAGATATCAACGATTTTTTAGAAGATTCAGTGTTAATATTATATTGGAGCCTTGGGAGGTGAATTGTAAGAATGCAGATTGAATTTAACTGGCTAAGGATTGAATCTGATGGAAGGCTTTTGTATTAGCAATGTTAGACATTTTAAATTACTGCTAGAGAGTTTGATTAGTTACCTACTTAGTCAGTTGGTTATGTTTCAATTAGTTGATGTGTCATAAATTTATTTCTCTTTAAAGAACAGGTACATCTGAATTGCATGTCACTATTATCAGGTGTGGAGCATAACTTTATCTCATTCTGATAAAGTTTTCCTTCCTTTTTTTGGCACAGTTGATCTACAGTATCCTCATGCATGTTTGAATTCCCCATTCACTCTTTCTTCAGTGCATTTGTAGGCCTATACATTAGAAACCTTCTTGTTTTACTGATAGAGTTGTCTCACAGCTACAGTTACATATATTTGAGTCAAACTGAAGTTATATGAAATAATTTGCTCTGAAAGCTATAAAACAGTAAATATCTGTGTTATAGTCAAAACTAAATTTGCAGCCTTTCAGTCAGCCATTCAGTAAGCCATTTGACCAGTCAGCAAGTAGTTTCTTTGGTCCGTAGTTAGTGAACCAGCTAACCAATTAGTCCAGTGAAGTTAAACTCTGTTCCCCATAGTGCATTGGGGGTTTGTTGCTGCAATTACAAGAAATATAAACATTCAAAAAGCATAATTTGCGTGATTATATGATTTTAAAATGCAGGTTGTGTGTTTGTGAAAAAATTTAATTTAAATTTAGAATTTGAAAAGCTACTAATATAAATTGATTTTAATGTGCCTTCTGATATTTTAGACTCCTTTGATGTTCCTGATGAAGGCATTGGCAGCAGTGCTATTCAAGTTCATGACTGATTTCAGGCTGTTGGATCGTGTACAGTCAGAAGATCCAGCCTGGAAGGAAAGTGGGGCAGCCTTCATCAGCTCTGTCACAAGACTATTGGAGAGACTGCTGGACTACCGCAGTGTTATACAGGGTGATGAGAACAGGGACAAACGCATGTCCTGCACTGTAAACTTGCTGGTACATATTGACATGACCATAGTCTCTCCCTGACACTGAACTGATTTAGCCAGTGAGGCCTGTACTGCTAGATGATCTGTCATAATATCTTGCCAAGGCTTAGAGACTGGTTTGCTGTTCATTGATCCTTCAAACTTTACACATAATCTTTCACTCTGCATGTATTAGCTGTCAAACTCCATGCATCAGAGTCCTTCCTGAGAAGCTAAAATCACTTAACTGGTCAAGAAATTCCGACTCCTTTTAAGGTTTATTACCTGTCTTCACAAGAGTCTACCAGTGGACCTTATCCTGAGTCAGTTTTATTCAGTTTACAATATTACACCTTGTATCTTTAAATCAGTTCTAATATTGTCATGTGTATGAGTGACTGCAGATGGGGTTTTGGATTGGAGGTGGGATTTATTGACCACTTTAACACACAACTCATGACTGCACTTAATTATAGTACCATTACTGATCTCCACACATTACAAATGAATCCAGCAAATGCAAAGTCTTTTCAGTCTGCTGTGTCTTCACCAGTCATTCCCTGGTACTGTCTTTTAACAGTGGGAATTCTTCAACTGCACTGACCAAGTCTTCTCTTCACGCACTCCCTTACCACTGACAACTGACTAACTTCTAAACTTGTCTAGGTTATAACATCTCACCACAGACTGCTTAGAAAATGCAATTCATTGTTGTATTCCAATCGTTTCCATGTGTATGTGTTCGTTTGCGAAGGCGTTACTCAGCAATGGCTGCATATACTTATTAAGGCCGTGCCATAGCTCAAGCAGTTAGATGCTGGCTTCCCACTGTGGTGACCCGGGTTTGATCCCGGGTCTGGTCAAGTGGTATTTGTGGTGGACAAAGTGCCACTGGGGCAGGTTTTCTCTGAGTACTTCGGTTTCCCCTGCCAATCTTCAGTCCACCAATTGCTCCACAATCACCCTCACCTATCATCGGGCTGGTACAATAGGCCAGAAGTGGCCACAGTGCAAGAGACTTAGTCCCACCCAACTAGCAATAAAAAAAAATACTTGCTTATTAAAAATCTTTTGCCGAACAGCAAATGTTGTTTTATTGTTTGTTTTGAGGTTGTTAGTCAGTAATGGGTCTACACACTACCGTGTTATCCTTCCATCTATGCTTATACTTCACTGTACAGCAAATCTGTGCTGAATTTCAATCTGAGCTTGAAAACTTGTATTGTGCACATTTTCAAGGAAAAGGAGAAGAAAGGTACATACAGAATGTCCCACAAAACATCTGCAAACTTTCTTTCTTTTTTTATATATTTATTTATCTTATTTTCCCATAAATCAAAATGCATTGATACAGGATGATATAATACTATCAGTAAAAACATATACAGGCAATTGTACAGGTAAACAATACATATAAATCATGCTTATCAAAACAAAAAGCTGCATAAAAATCAAGACAAAAGATTACATCAGCCACGCAAAAAACCATATCAGGTTAGGAATCAGATTATAAATTATTTATAAGAAGCAAGGTTTTCCATTATTTTCCAATCTATATTCCCACAGCGAGCCACTATGGAGAAATTGTTTTAAAGGCATATTTAAACCTAATAACATCATTTGTCATGTTCTTAAGATTCTGTGGTAAATTATTAAATAATATGAGCCCAGAACAGTAGACACCATTTTGGACTTTAGTTAATTTATAAGTTAAATGATGTAAATCTGAACCATGTCTGGTATGGATACTATGTATATCAGAATTTAGTGTGAAAGTATCCATATTTTTAAAAACAGACATGGCTATTGAAAATATATATTGTGAGTGAAATGGAAGAATATTTAGATACCTAAACAATGGACAACAAGAGTCCATTTTTCTAGCTTTCATAATGATTCTAACTGTTCTTTTTTGAATTTTAAAAATTAAATTACTTTCGGCAGAATTGCCCCAGAGCATAATTCCATTGGACAAAATGAAATGTACATAGGCATTATAGGTCATCAGTAGACTCTCCTGGGACACAACGGAAGATAACGTTCTGATACCATAGACAGCCGAACTCAGCTAATACTAATACTAATTGATTAATATGATCTTTCCAGGACAAAGTACTATCAATGATTAGTCCAAGAAATTTGACATTACAAGTGTTTTGGATTAAAGTATCACTATATTTTATATTTAAGTTTTTAACAGATTCAATTTTGTTGCACAGTAGACACAATTGAATTTGATTTGTTTCATTTTGGTCCGTCACACTAACAGTTACAATTATAAAAGACAAGTCCGTCCAATGTGACTGTTTCAGTTTTCTCACTTGATGATTCACTAGCCTTACATGTTTCGATCCATTTGAAATCATCTTCAGAAGCACCAAACACTTTTTTGAAACCACTATCACAACAGTTGTCATATCAAACACACATGTAATGTCCAAGTACACAATGTTCCATCTATCAGTCACAGCAGCCTTTCTGGTTACAGAAATATTTAAAGTTGTTTTAAAGTTTTAAAAACTTTGTTGAAAATTAAAATTCATAAACCACACTGTTCGTGTCAGTGACCTAGGTCGTCTCTCTTCAAGGTGGCCGATGTTGTGCCGCCTATGTAACTTGCGTAGGGAGATTCTGTAAATATATTATGGGTACTGTTTTAATATCAGTGATCCTACTATATATATATTTTAAGGTTTTTGTCCTACCTTAATGTTGTCCGTTATGATTTCTTTGCCCACTGTGCTGTGTATACTGTTCTAGTGTGTGTTGTGCCATTTAATTTATACTTCCTGTATCTGTGACGTTGTTGTGGGCGTGTTATGGTGTATTATGAGGTCGAACATGTTACGTTGGCTATTAATTTCTTTTGTGTGTTTTTGTTCTTCTGTTAATTTATTGAATTTATTAAAGTGATAAATGTGGAAGTCCTCTTTTATATTCATAATGTTTCCTTTTTTGGCTTTTTCAGTCATTTCCATGATTTCTGTCATTGGCCCATACTGATGGTGTTTATTTAGTAAAATTTAGTAAAAGAGGACTTCCACATATATCACTCTAATAAATTCAATAAATTAACAGAAGAACAAAAACACACAAAAGAAAGTAATAGCCAACGTAACATGTTCGACCTCATAATACACCAGAACACGCCCACAACAACATCACAGATACAGGAAGTGTAAATTAAATGGCACAACACACACTAGAACAGTATGCACAGCACAGCGGGCAAAGAAACCATAACGGACAACATTAAGGTAGGACAAAAACCTTAAAATATATATATATATATAGTAGGATCACTGATATTAAAACAGTACCCATAATATATTTACAGAATCTCCCTACTCAAGTTACATAGGCGGCACAACATCGGCCACCTTGAAGAGAGACGACCTAGGTCACTGACACGAACAGTGTGGTTTATGAATTTTAATTTTCAACAAAGTTTTTAAAACTTTAAAACAACTTTAAATATTTCTGTAACCAGAAAGGCTGCTGTGACTGATAGATGGAACATTGTGTACTTGGACATTACATGTGTGTTTGATATGACAACTGTTGTGATAGTGGTTTCAAAAAAGTGTTTGGTGCTTCTGAAGATGATTTCAAATGGATCGAAACATGTAAGGCTAGTGAATCATCAAGTGAGAAAACTGAAATAGTCACATTGGACGGACTTGTCTTTTATAATTGTAGACACAATTGGTTTTACTTAAATTTAGCATTAGCAAATTGTGTGAAAACCACTCATTTATTTTTAGCAGAATCACTTTCAAGGTAATTTCGAGTTCTGTGGAATTAGAATTTGAACACAATATACTAGTATCATCCACATACAAAATTGGTATGGATGATTTATTTACTAAATAAGGCAGATCATGCAATAGAAAGAACAAAGGCCCAAATATCGAACCTTGTGGAACACACTGTTTAACCTCTTGCCATTTAGAAACACGCTTTCTATAATTATTACTTATTAACGTTCTTTGATATCTATTAGTCAAGTAAGATTTAATCAGCTTCCCTGCTACACTATTGACGCCATAAAACTCCAATTTAGCAAGCAATATGTCGTGATTGACACAGTCAAATGCCTTGGTTAAATCAAAAAATAATCCTCCGACAGCTAATTTGTTATTAAGTGCCAATAGGACATTATTTATTAAGGTAAAAGTAGCCATATCAGTAGTTGATTTAGTTTGAAAGCCATATTGTTCTGCACCAGTATCTAATTTACATCGATATGATATTGCAGTCTGTTAAAAGTGACTTTCTCGAAAATCTTAGGAAAGGATGTCATCAAAGATACGGGTCTATAATTAACCTTTAATGGCCGAATGTCACGTATACACGCCGCAAGCAGTAACCGGAGTTGGCCGAATGACCTGCGTACACGTCGCAGGACACATGCTCTCTTTGGGAGTGCTGTCAGTTTGACCTTGGGTTGGAAACCAAACAAACCTACGTGATATCATGTCAGTGGTTCATTCCTTAGCTCTGAACAAAGAAATTATTTATCACGGTACTGGTTTTGATACTATTTACGTTTAGATATGACTGTTTATGACCTGCTCAGCCAAATATAGCCCAGCTTTGTTTCGAGAACTGATGAGGAAATATTTATCGGTGCTTGCATAAGAGCGCTTGCAAAGCCTTCAAGGAAGTCTGACGCATTCAAGGATTGGTTTTCAGTGGCATATTATCAGTCAGGAAGTCAGTGTCAGATTGTCTAATATTTCTTTATCAGTTAGAAAGTCAGTGTCAGACTGTCATATACTTCTTTATATATCATTTTTATTTTGCATCTTGGAAGAGGTATAAACCCACTGAGCCAGTATTACTTTGTGAGTAAAGGCATCTTCGCCACTGCGACTTTCAGTATGTGTTGGACTGGCACTCTTTTCGACTAGTATTATACTTACTTTGCATCACTATTTTGCAAATAGTACCAACAGGTGAGAGTGTCGCTTTGTCAATCAACATAATTTATTCGATTCTGCTAGAAACCCCCCTCCCCCAAGACGATTCTTCAATCGCACTACCCGAATATCATGGTCAGTGGTGTTTCTCGGGGGAGGCCAAAATTTATCAGGGGGCCCAACTGAGTCGACTGGAAGTGAAACATTCACAACACTGGCCAATCAAAGGGAAACTAAGACGTATTTGTTCTCAGAATAAGAAGCGCAGAAGCACGTAAAGTGTCATGTTGCTCTGTGTGGGTTCGGCTGCTTCGAGAATGTTGGACTGCTTCGACAAGTAGTACACGTGCATCGAGTGTGAGTTATTGTAAACTGTGAAGTGACGCAGTTCAAGCTCACATACAGTCTGAACAATATATTATTGTACGAGTATATAGTGTGATTATATTTACAATATCACCATGATTCAAGGCTGAAGAATAAACAACGGGTAAGTCCTTTGGAATTTCATGACATCTATAATAAAGATTATATTTTGCAATTCATGACAAAATAATCACAGTTAATTTTCATTTGTAAAAATTGTTCTTCTGTGTACATGTAGAAAAATTTATTGTCTTTCAGTTTGTTTTTAGTTTTTATTTCTATGCTGCATAGAACGGAAAATATGGATTTTTTCTGATGGTTTGCAAATTTAATTAATCAGGGTGATTTAAATACCGGCCGCAGGGGGCTCCCGGCAATTTAAAAGTCCGTACGTTAAAGGTTAACAGTATCAGACCTGTCACCATTTTTGTAGATGGGATTAATTTGAGAATACTTCAAGCAGTCTGAAAGAACAACTGGCACAAAATCGTTTTGGAATATAAAGCCAAACAAGTCATTCTGATTCCAAGATTTCTCATACAGTGGCCTGCAATTTTAGAGCAAGCCTCGTGAAAAGATTTTCAAGGTACCATTCTCTCCAAGGGATTCGACTTATGTTTATGACCAGTCTGTAAGTGAAGGTGTTCCTGTGTATTTACATTTTGCTGAGAAGCATGAGAGCATGTTGGGACTGTCAGACCAAGCCCAACATTGGATTGAATGAATTTTTGATTGACTCTGACAGAGGTACAAAGGTTAAATTGCTGATACATTGAGTCAATTGACCAGTTTTCCCTCTAAATAAATCCCATCATATTTATTTTATTGTAATAATTACTATGACATGATCTGAGTTAAAGTTATAACTATTAACATCAGAGGCAAGAAATGTGATTCCTTCACAAAAAAATAGGGTAGCAAAATGGAGCTTACCTTCTACCTTCCCTCGTTTGCTCATCCAGTGTATGGTGTAACATACTGTATCTTGCTTTCAGAACTTTTACAAAAATGAAATAAACCGCAAGGAGATGTATCTGCGTTACATCTATAAGTTACATGACCTTCATCTCCCAGCTGAGAATTACACAGAGGCAGGGTTCACCATGAAACTATATGCTGACCAGTTGAGCTGGACAGCCCGTACTTTGGTGTCAGACCCACACTATCCTGGACAGCAGGAGTGGCAGAGAAAGGAGCAGCTTTATCATCAAATCATCAAGTACTTTGACAGTGGCAAGGTGAGAATAAGACCTTTGGTATGCTAATAGTGCACAGTATATTCCAGTAACTTTTTGTATATGGGCACATCATATTACATCCTGAGAAACTTCTCATTTCTGAGTGAGTTTACAGTCTTAAAATTCATTAATTGATGTCTCCAGTGATCACTGAGAATGCTCTTCTCACCATCTGGGCATTTGAACAGCCATGCATGATTCTTGAAAGGTCAGAAGGCCATTTTTAAAGATTCCGGAGCTCTTGAACTGTGCACTGCATTTGCAGTATCAAGATCTGTATTCCATAGCAAGTAGAATACTTGAGAAAGTGGGATGAGAAATGCTTTGGCATTCTACTTATCACCCAGACTTATCTCACAGTGATTTCAGAGTCTTTGGGTTTCTGAATAAGGTGATAGGAGGCCAGACGTTTGAACACAGTAAGTATAACAACATGGCTATCATTTAGTTGTGGTATGTTATGAATCAATTGAGTTTATGAATCTTGAACAGTGGTGGAAGAAGGTCTATGGGATTTGAGTGTGGTTGTGTAGATAACCAGAGGTGCTAAAACTCTTCTATAACATATTTTGAACACTGGTGGAAGAAAGAGTGTGGGATACAGTACACACTGAAACAAGCCACTGGACAGAACAGGAAATTAAGAGGGTGTCACATGTTATACATTTTTCAGTGGTTAGAAGGTGGAGGGCTGCTCTTAGAGTCTGGAATACAGTCTTTCTCCTACGCAAGGACAGGAGAGAGAGGGCAGGTTCATGGGACATTGAGAGGGGGCTAGCAAAAAATAATTTAGGAAGCAAAGCTGCAAATATAGTTCATGCAGAAACTTATGGGACAACAGTGATGGCTAATTAGGAATCAGTTGGTATGAGGAAGATGCTAGAAAAATGCCCCCAGTCATGCAGTGATTTCCCATATAAGTAACATTAAGCAACTGGTGGTTAGGTTAGGTTCCTGTTAGTGTAATGAAGTGTTTGTTATGGTATGAAGTAGGCACAATAGATCACTGTAGGTCGTGGTGGAAGGGCCAAGAAGGCCCACCCCTTATACATTCATTCATATGGTATGAAGTGCAGAATGAAAGAGCATATATGAGAAAAAGTGGCACATATCCACCTGTGCATTGCTAACATAAATAATGGGATATTACTGAATGTAATGCCATGTTTCTGTGGTCCTTTCCATCTTGCTTTTGTTACATCAGCTCACTATATTTTGCAGTGCTGGGAGAAAGGTATCCCACTTTGCAAGGAGCTTGCAGAGCTGTATGAACGCCGCCTTTTTGATTATGCCAAGTTAAGCCAGATACTACGGACACAGGCTAAGTTCTTCGATAACATTCTGACTCAGCTGAGGCCTGAACCAGAGTACTTCAGAGTTGGATTTTATGGACTGAGCTTCCCGCTTTTTGTCAGGGTGAGGTGCATCATCTAGTTTTTTATAACTTTATGTTAGACTCTTTACCTACCATTGAAGTCTTCCTTCTACCATGCATGAAATACCTGGCTCAGTAAGTTAGTTCAGTTGGTGCTATCAGTAGATTCCCTGATGACCCTCTTATCACCCACAGAATAAGCTGTTTGTGTACCGTGGCCTGGAATATGAGCGAATTGGTGCGTTCACACAGCGACTACAGACAGAGTTCCCATCGGCGCAGATCCTTATGAAGAACACCCCACCAGATGATACCATCATTAATTCAGAGGGGCAGTGTATCCTTCTACACTGCAAATGGTTTACTCTATGTATTGTAAGCTACATCTGTAATATAGTTTTCCTAGAGCAACTGTTGGTTATTCATTTGATGAAGAGATCTCCTGTTGCAACTTGAATTATTGCAAAGCCATTGGACTCTTTTCTGACCCATTTGCTACTCACACATTGTGTGTCTGTAAGATCTGTTTTAGTATTATCATTTCAGTCATGCCTTTGTCTCTCACAGTAAGGTTTACTTGGCAAAATTTTGTAAGCACTTCCTTTCCCTCAATTTTTCTACACATGCAGACCCCTCAGACCTCTTCATTTAGCCATTATATCTGTACTATCTAAATTCTGAAGCTCCATATTTTGTAATTTTCTCCATTGTTTTGTCCATGCATAGACTGTTAACCATTAATGCAACATTTATTTATTTAATATGCATTACCTGTCTAAGGAATGAAAACTTAATAATCCTGGCCATGTCTGGAATAGAGTACATGTATTCTCCAGTTTATTTCTTTCTGATTTTGCATCTGTCAATGGTACTGATGTTTATATGTGGCAGATAAAGTTCTGTCACTGACGCAGCTTTCCAATATAGATACAACACTGTAAAAAGGTAAAACGCTCACTGTAATAGGTCGTGAGACATTAAGGCTCCCACATTTCGTAGACATTCAGCTCACAGATGGGGCTGAGGTTGTCAACCTTGCGCACAGGCTGTATTATGTATATATCATATTATGTTACCTTGACTTGTTCCAATGATTAATTGGAACATTTGTTCTGATATTTGACACATTCTATATCCAGTAGTTTGTGAATCTACTTCTTGACCTATATGTGGATCTGATTGAATTTGAAATAAAAGAACAAGAACAAAAACAGGCCTTCCTTTACCCCTAGGGCCATATTGTGGCTGGAAGGATTAGATCAATCGAAAAATGCAATGATTTCATCTGGAATCTATCCTGCAACTTTCCAGCTTGTAGCTTAATGCCTCAACCAACTATGCTACTGCATGCCACACTGTATAGAAGCATAAATGATTATTCCCACATTGAAGAAATATTTTAGCTCTTTGACTGCTGAGCTCCAACATAGAAGTACCTGCTAGAAGTGCCAAGACTGCTTGAAGGTAAATGTCATTGTGCACAAAAACCCACAATACTCTAGCAGATTACTTTTGAATGACTACAGATATAGATAGTGTGTAAACCTGTTCTTCGCTTTAAACATCCCTACATAATACTCGGTGTCATCTGTTGACAGAGGTGCTCTGCTAATTGACTAACAGCAAGCTGATCTCTTTGGCTATGGCAGTTGTAACACAAATATGCTAAGCCAATTTAATGAGCAAATGGCATGCAAAGGGCTGAGTAAAAAATAAACATCACAATGAATCTTTATTTTATAATGTGAACATATGTCTTATGTAGATTCTAAGGGGTTCTGATGATGGTGGCACACAGAATTACTGGGTTTTTGGACTTTTTCCATTATCTGGAATTCTAGGTAATAGAGGACACAGTGTTTTGGAAACTGGATTTGTTTCTGTCTTCAGGTTAGTGTGATTGAGATTAGCTGTTTCTAAGGGGCTCAACTGAGTAGGTATCTTCCTTTCTCACCTGAAGATGGAAACAGATCCAGTTTCTGAAATGTCATGTCCTCTATTACCTAGAATTCCGGACAACGAAAAAGTCCCAATACCCAGTAATTCTATATGTCTTATGAACCATTTTTATCCTACTTTCCTTATTTTTAAAAAAATGAAAGGAGGCTTACGAGATTGCCTTACTGTATGTGTTTCTGTGTCCCCTCCCTAAACAAGCCAGAATAGATGGTTATTGGTCATTGCTAGGCAACATCTCAAACACATTCCCGTGGCAACGAATAAATGCATGACAATAGAAGAATTGTTGTATGCTTATATCAAATCTATATAAACAAAAATGTAAATGTTGGTTTGTTAATCCTCGAAGATCTCCAAAAGTTCTTCACCGATTGCTTCAAAATTTTGACACAACGTTGTATTTGAACACACACATGTTTTTATGTACCCATTATGTACATGGCACACCTGTGACAGGTTGGTTGGTTGTTAAAGTATTAATTGTACTCAATATTAATATACTGTAACATGTAGGATTTGAGGCTTTCACGGCGGTGACTATGAAGAAAGCAGTCTTCTGGGATTTGGCACCGTGTATATGTGGTGTTAACCAACGTTTAGGAGGAACGTATCGCCTCCATCTTCAAGGTAGAAGAAAAAATATATAAGAATCTGCAAGCAAAGAGACCGTGAGAACCGGTAAAAGCAGACTGAAGATGGAGGCGATACGTTCCTCCGAAACTTCGGTTAACACCACATATACACGGTGCCAAATCCCAGAAGACTGCTTTCTTCATACTGTAACATTTTATACATCGTCCATTGAATACCAACAGATCGTTGCCTAGGAATAACCATGGCAACGAACTGATGAAATGGCAGAAATAATGCATTTCTGCGGCAACGAGCACAGAACACGTGAAATGGAACCCTGGGCGAAAGTTCCCTCTATTGCGTCCGAAACCAGGTTATAATAGTCCAGCTCCGAAGAGTTTTCGGTGATACTGGACATGATAATAATTGTACTCGCTGGTGTAAAAGTGAGCATTCAATAACTTATTCGCTGAATCCGAGATGTGCGTGGAAGTTATTGAATAGGAGACACGTGACCACAACAACATTACATAGGTAACACGCGACATATTCCTATTATCAAAGTACACGTAAATAATGCAACAATTTAAAAAGACATCAAGAATATGTCACTCACTAAAAATGTATTTTAATACTTTATGATGTTAAAATCGTTAAAAATGTCAATCTATATATATAAATAAAAACGTAAATGTTGGTTTGTTACCCTTTGAAGATCTATTGTATACATGTCACACCTGTGACAGGTTGGTTGGTTGTTAAATTATTAATTGTACTCAGTATTAATATACTGTAACGTGTTATACGTCATCCATTGAATACCAACAGATCGTTGCCTAGGAATAACCGTGGCAACGAACTGTTGAAACAGATCATTGCCTAGGAATAACCTTGGGAACGAACTGTTGAAACAGCGGAAATAATGCATTTCTGCGGCAGCGAGCACAGAACACGTGTAATGGAACCCTGGGTGAAAGTGCCCTCTATTGCACCCGAAACCGGGCTATAATAGTCCAGCTCTGAAGAGTTTTTCAGTGATACTGGACGTGATAATAATTGTACTCGCTGGTGTAAAAGTGAGCGTTAAATAACTTATTCGCTGAATCCGAGACGTGCGTTGAAGTTATTTCATGAGTATAGTTTATTTTTCATTGTTTTTCATTTCGTTTGCTTAACTGTTCTCCTTATTTTTCGGTGCAATTGGCGGTGGGATTAGCTGTGTCGATTGATCTGCGTTTGATTTGAAATATTTCGTCGGTATTTTTAATTTTTTGGTTTCTTCTTTGTTTTCCAGTTCATGTTCTTTCCTTTTTAATATTTTGCAATTTCATATGTTTTTGTTATAACTTTCTTTCTTCTCCCTCAGTGCAATTGATCTGCTTTAGTTCATCCAAATAATGCCTCGCAGAAGGACAAGCTTAGGTTGTCGTACTCGCGGAGTGGAAGCAATGCATCGAGTAATTTCAAATCAAACTGGGGAAGAACAGGCAGACTGAGCCACAGCAAGGCGTGGCCAGGCACAGCTAGTACTCAATATGTAGTGAAAGGAAAGCTAGTTATTAGTTCTTCCCAGAACTTTTTGTTAATGTTAAATTTGATAAATTTCAATATTCAGGGCAAAATGAAAGTTACTTGATAGTTTCTAACACTATTCTCCTAATTTTAAATTCCGTTGAATGAATTGAATAGTTTTGGAAATGAAACATGCAGATGAATGGAGAGGGACATGTTCATTTCATCCTTAAAAATATTGTACTGTCTGATATAAGCACCAGATTCGGCTAAGAAATTTCTTGTAGTAATAAGTGTGTTAACCTGTTCTGTGCTCTCAACAGGATATCTTGCTCAGAGTCATCAATCAAGTAAGCTGTACTAGGGGCGTTAAAAATGATGGACACTAAATGTTTTTTCTTCACAGTAAACATTTATTGGAACAAAATACATACAAATTATATTAGAGGTATTCCCCACCAATGTTTCTGCACCTTTGCCATTGTTCTGGCAGTTCCAGTATTTGCACAGCAAACCATTCTTTGTGAGTATCCCAGCACCACTGCTGGACAACTGCCTGAAGCTCATCATTGGAGGTGAATGTCTTACCCCGCATGACGTCTTTCAGCGTAGTCACTTGGGGCAAGATCGGCAAGTATGGCGGATGAGGCAGCATGGATGTTCCCTAGAGCACCCAGAGTCGCAATGGTCTGCTGACTGCCATGTGGCTGCGTGTTGTCATGTTGGAGAAGAATGCTGTGCTCCCATTTTCCATGGCGGCATTGCTGAACGTGTCGGCGGAGTTGGCGCAGTGAATTGCAGTACCGCTCACTATCAGTGGTTATATTGGGAGGCAGCCAATCCAACAGAAGGATCCCCTCCTGATCCCAGAACACAGTCGCCATTTGCTTCCAGATGAATAGTCCCGGTCATGACTTCTTGGAAGGAGGGCTTCCAGCAGGCTTCCACTCCATGGTCTGGCGTTTCTTTTCTGGAGTCTCGCCCCAGTACCATGACTCATCGACGGTGACTAAATGCTCAAAGAACTCCACCGGATCCACGCTATACAGCTGCAGCAACTGTTAGCATGTCTCCACACGCTTCTGCTTCTGCGCAATGGTGAGAGACTGGGGCACCCATTGAGCACAGACCTTTTTCATCTTCAAGTCCTGATGGACGATGGTGTGCAGTGTTCTGCATGAGAAACCTGTTGCGTTCTCTAGTTCATCGAAACTGATGCTCCTGTTCTCCAGTATCAAGTCGGACACCCTCTGGGTACTGTCTGGTGTGCGTGCTGTTGCTGGATGCCCACTGCTTTTGCCTTTTTCCGCATAGTCCTTGCCATCTTTGAACTCTGCCATCCAGCGAAACACAGTTCTGTGACTTGGTGCTTCTTCCCCACATACCGCTGCTAACCTTGTATGAATGTGTGAAGCAGCCACTCCTTCCCTCCAGAGAAACCGCACAGTCCACCATTGCCTGTGATTGCCTGCTTCCATGTTGTCTGAGCGTTGTCCATGACTGCACCTGAACACTGTCACAAATGACACAACACTATTCGGCCTGTGCGCAGTAGCAATGTCATCTCATGGCTATAGGCAGCACTATAGTATGTCTTCCCACATACACCGGCTTGCATTTGACACTGCTACTTTTCTGGAGTTATGGAGGGAGTGTCAATCATTTTTGAACAACCTAAATAATTCTGATGTTTGATAATATCTCTAGAAATAACTCCTGTACCACCTCTTTGACTCTTTAATATATCAAACTGCTTATGATTCCCCATCCACTTAAATTATGATACCATTCAAATATATAAACAATATAACAATATACTTAAGTTAAGCATTGAAAAGATTAATGGAATGGTATTTTATCTTGTAAGAAGTTTTGTGAATGTGCTTAATATGAGTGAATGTAGATTTAAGGAGAGAAAGTGTGTTGTGTGAATTTACTTAACTAAGCCTTCAGATATTCAGATCTGCAATGTGAAACCAATACCAGAGGATAATCCACTGTTTATTGAAGCTGGCACAGATATTCCAGAAAAGATAGCAAGCTTCTACCAGGTGAATGATGTCCGAAGGTTCCAGCTTGACCGTCCTGTTCACAAAGGACCTGTTGATAAAGACAATGAGTTCAAAGTGAGTGTTATAAATGAGTAAATACTAAGCAAGTATGTATCTTTTGACAGAATTTGCACCTGGCATAGTAGCTGTTAAGATGTGGAACACAGAATTTCCAACAATCTGATGCATGAATATTAAATAGTGGTGGGAACTTTTATTTCTTAAGAGAGAGGAAGTAACCGGAGAATGGAGAAAATTGCTTAATGAGAGCCTCATGATTTGTGCTCTTTATCAGATATTGTGAGGATGATTGAATCAAGCAGCATGTGTCTTCCAGTATGATTACCCATAATGTGGCATGTACAAATAAACAGCAGTGTTATGCAACCCATTTCTAGGCAGTGATCGGTAAACACACTCCCTTGGCAATGAATACAAACTCAACAATTAAGTTACTGTTGGAAACAGTGTTCTCTACTCGATCTTTAAAAAGTGGTTATAAGGAAGACAATTGGGGTGACCCAATTGTGAGTTGTCAGTTGATACACAGCCTGTGAAGTGAAAACTAGGAGATTGGTGTAAAATGCAACCAGCCTGGGAGTTAGTTAGTAGTCAGATATCAGTGGGGAGTTGAGTTCTTCATGGGAGGCTGTGTTTTCTACTCGATCTATACAAAGTGGTTATAAGGAAGACAATTGGGGCGACCCAATTGTCAGTTGTCACTTGATACACAGCTTGTGAAGTGAAAACTAGGAGATTGGTGTAAAATGCAACCAGCCTGGGAGTTAGTTAGTAGTCAGATATCAGTGGAGAGTTGAGTTCTTCATGGGAGGCTGTGTTTTCTACTCGATCTGTACAAAGTGGTTATAAGGAAGACAATTGGGGCGACCCAGTTGTGAGTGGTCAGTTGATACACAGCCTGTGAAGTGAAGACTAGGAGGCTGGTGTGAAATGGCCACCAGCCTAGGAGTTAGTACTCAGTTATCTGTGGAGAGTTGAGTTCTTCATGGGAGGGTGTGAAGATAGAATCTGAGTGCATGAAGATGAAGAATCTCCACTGTTAGAAGCCATCGTCAGGGAACAGTTGATGACACAGCAGTCTGGAAGAAGGCTTAGTAGGTGTTGTGGTGATTTGTAAAGTGTGGAGATTAGCAATAATGCTGTAATTACATGTAGTTTTGAGTAGTGTGTATAAGCTGTCAATAAATTCATTCACCAATCCAAGCCCCATTTATAGTCACACCTAAAATCATGACATCTGAACAGTAGTGCCACTTAATTTAAGGTCTTGATACATGGTACAGTATCTTTGAAAATATGTCGGTTCCATCGAGGTACTAACTAGGTAGAATGTAAAACCATATGACAAGTGTGAAAAATCTGTAAAGTTAGGTCTCCATTTAATGATGACAACTAATAAACCATGAGAGCAAGGTGTGTAAAATTTGTCATGGAACTGTGTGATAAATGTATCTACAACTCTTGTATGCTGCATCTTTTTATGTATATCGTAACGGCCGGAGAACAGATGCTGCAAGAACAGGCTCCAAAACAAAGGAACGGGGTGCACCGTTAGGCTATTCGAGACGAACAGCCTTAAGGAGGGAGCAGTGTGACATGTTGAGCTATGGATGACGCCCCTCCCCCCCACCGCCAGCCGTGATGCGCCGAGCGAAGCCGAAGTGAGCCAAAGTTAGCCGAGTCCCCGGAACCTGGTAGCTATGCAACGCGAGTCAACAGCGATGACGTCACCAAGGGTACTGCGGGTTGCTAGGCAGCACGGGTAAACAGTTGTTGCGAGAGATGACGGTAGTAACAGCGGTACACAGCGTTGCTGGCACGATGGCACCAGACGTAATGGTGCCTATTACATGGCCGTTTTCTGTATTGTCCGATCGAGGGTACATAAGGAGCAGCGAAGGCTATTCGCAGTCAGTCCTCGAGCTACCTCCGAGTTAGTTCCGAGTTAGCCAGCAACCAGTCAGTTGTATCCTGGTATTTGGAGTGTAGTATTTGTGATACTGGAGATAGCAGTAATTGTGAATCTGTAATTTGGGTGATTGTAAGTGCGAATGTGAAATAAAATTCGCTATATCAAATACGGCGTGAAGTTATTTGTCGCGTTATATGCCCAATGTCACAATATTAAGAATTTTAAACATTATTGTAATGCTGATTTTTGAGGTTATATCTTGCATATTTAATGTCACCTAATTCTGTACTAGTAAAAATTATGCACATAATAATTCATTATATTGTATAACTATTATGTTATGAGTTTTTTAGCTCCACTGTACAGACTGCAACATTTGATGGAAAGTCAGCATCAAAATTTTCCATGAGGTTCTGAGGTTTTAATCTGTTTCCTTGCACAAACAGAGCCTGTGGATAGAACGTACAGTACTGGTGACTTCTAGCTCCTTACCAGGAATATTGCGATGGTTTGAAGTGGTAGAAAAGAGTGAAAAGGAAGTGGCACCTGTGCAGTTTGCGTGTGAGACAATGGAGAGTGTGAACAAGGAACTGCGGCAGCTTATCAACCAGTACACACTGGACAGGAAAAGAAATATTAATCCATTCAGCATGAGATTGCAGGTAATCTGCAGATTGAACTGCTACACACTTAGGTGGTTTCTTGTATTTTTATTATATCTGTGAATCTTAGGTAAGTATTATAGTTTGGTCACTGACAAATTTTTTAAACTTTGCCTAACATTGTGATTTATATATTTATATACCTCTGAGGTAAATAGTTGTTACTTACCATCACATACCATTTAGTATGCAGATCGAGATATCTTTATTTCATTTGATATTTGAGACTGACATCTTGTGTATTAAGTTGCTGATTCCGTTGAAAGGTATTATTGTTTTGTACCTCAGATAAATCTAATTCTATAGCATTTATTATGAGTATAATGTTACCAGAGGGGGTCTGAATTGGACTTGAGAGTTGTTCACTGCTGAGGCACAGCTTTAATAAATAAATTTGTACCAGGTATATTGGTTATTTCTTGCTGATAGACATGAGAATATATATATGGGAAGGAAGTGGTCTTATGGCATACTCGTATTTCAAGAAACTCCTGAAATTTGTGTGGAGGAACTGAGGGAAGGCACAAATTATCTGTTAGAATACCAGTTTCTGTTCATGATCTAAATTTGGTATCTCTTTCTTTCTGTGCCATCCCACCAATGTAGAATCTCAGCGGTTGATTTGTTTGGCTGCAGGGTATAATCGATGCAAACGTGATGGGTGGCATCTCCAAGTACCAGCAAGCATTCTTCACACCTGAGTTCAGCAAGCAGTTCCCAGAGTTTGAAGATCATGTCTATAGGCTCAAAGCTCTCACAGTGGATCAGGTGATAATTGTGATTATATTCATATCCCCTTTAATAAAACTGTCATCATCATCATCAGCAGCAGCAGCATCATTATCATGATCCATTGACTTTTCTGCTAGGGTGGGTTGTCCTATGACAGTCCAGCTTCATTCTTCTCTCTTCTCATATAAGAATTTATCTTATCTTTCCCTAATCTTCTTTGTATATCTACCCTCACAGGGTCTCCCTATTTTGTCATTGATTTTCCCAGTAGTTGTTTATATGTCATTTTAATTTTCATCCTCTCCAAGGAACACTATCGTTATCAGTATGTATCACTCATTCATACCACTGTATTCTTAATATAACTGACTCTTCTTCTAATGTTCATACCCTCTTACTAAATATGTCTATTTGTGGTTTTATTCCTTCTTCTTTATTTCTTAATGCTGCAGAGGCACTTCATATAATTTTCTGATGTGTCTCTTACCCTTGCCCAAGTTTTCATTGTATCTGTATATTTTATATAATAACTTTAATCCTTTCTTTTAACATTTATCAATTCCAAACAGTCTGTTAACATTTCCTAGCTCTGTAAATTATCTCTATGATTTTTCGTGGCTTTTCCCATTTGCTGGAACTTTACTACCCACTTAAAAGACTCGTACAGCTTACTTCAAATCAGTAAGGCTGTGCTTAAATGAATTTTAATTTTTACACATCAGTAGTTCTGACCCTTGTCTTGATACAATGTTTTGTAGATCCAAGTCCTGGAGAGTGGGTTGCATCTTCATGGACAGTTAGCACCATCTGGAGTGCAGCCACTTCATCGCCGTTTGCAGGAACGCTTTGCTCAATTGAAACAGGGTCTACGGGATCTGGGTCCAGTGACCAGTAGAAGTCGGGGAAAGTCCCAGTCTGACAGTTCCCAAACTATAAGCATTGTGAAGTGAGTGCTGGAATGGTTGCATATTCATCTAACTCAAATGTTGCTCTTCTGATAGATGTAATATTCAAGGATTATTATTGTACCCACAGAAAAGATTTAGGTTATTCATTTGCTGAAGAAACTGAATTCAAAGCATCATACAGCACAGCCAGTCCTGTACTCAATTAATGATCATATAACCAACATTCTTTGACCCTTTAAGTGTGTCCAAAGAAGGGAATTTTACAGTTTTGTTATTGATTATAATCAATAACAAAACTGTACAAAAAAAAATTTTTTTGGTGTCTAGGATTTTAAAACTAATTTTAGTTATATTTAAGGCGCTGAATCTAAATATAAAATCAGTTTTTCTCTACCAGCTCTACTTTTTTAGATCAGCGTTTTTGTAACGTGCAGTTCTACACAAAATGTGCAGTTCTAATTGTATTTTGTGCAGTTCTAAATCTCATATGCAAGGATTGGTTCCTGTCTAAACGTTTCAACCAGGATGAGTTAAATGACCTCATCAGAGATCTCAACCTGTCAAAAGAAGCTTCTGAATTACTGGCTTCTAGGTTGAACGACAAAAATTTACTGGAACAAGAAACCAAAATTTCCTTTTACCGCACAAGAGAAACGGATCTGCTACCCTTCTTCTCTCAAGATTACAATCTTGTATATTGTCACGAAA